GGAACCCATACTATTCTAGATACAATATGATAATGATAAGTTATATTATACACTTATCTATCGCATTTTTGGTTATGTTGTTATGACTATAGTTTGATACTGCATAAAATGTTTACTAAGGTAATAGAAAAGATACTGTCTGAGATGTATTATGCCAACCCACCAAATCTTAGAAGAGAATATCTAGAGATTTCTCAAGATGATATTTATATCTAAATATTAGAGTAATGAGATAAAATTATATTATTGATTGGATTTTGGCAGTATTTATCTATATTTTAGGAATAATTTATTTAGATTTTCTTTCTATTTATCATGTAAAATATTTGATGTATATTATATAGAGTTTTTATTTGTTAAGAACTTTGCTAGTCTCTCTATAAATAGGTTTGCTAACCTATTGGTGACGTAATCTCAGATCATATAGTAAAATTCTTTCTTACCGGTTTTACCCCTGGAAGTAAGCACACTGCCTACATAAATTTTTGTGTTCTTTTCGTTTTGCTTTTATTTTAGTATGAATGTGCATGCTTCAAGAATCAATTTTTTTCAATAAGTGGTATCAGAGCTCGGGTTTGAGCCGGTTTAGAAAGAGAGAGATTGTACAGATCTATAGATCATATCAGATAGAGGAAACAGAGGCGGCAGCCACCGTGGGCGGCGAATCAGCTCAAATTCGCGCAAGGAATGGCAGTTTTTTGAAGAAGAAGAACTGATCTCGCGTGCGACTTTGAACCAGAAGGTCTGCAGGCAGCGGCAGCTGACAGGGATGTCTAGAAGCTTGCCATATCTGCAAGGAGGAAGGAGGAGCCACAGACGGTTCCGATTTCAGCCAAAAACAAAAGGAGAGGCTCGCAATCTGACCAGAGCTGCGACTGTGCGCGATAGACGGACGGATAGAAAACTGAAGAAGCCGTCTGTACCTGAAACCAGGGCTGGAGAAGAAAAACGTGCGCTAGAGAAGACGAACCAGCGCGGCGGCACCCGGTTCACGCGAGGCCCAATTTGTGGCATTCCTGGCGTGTTTTCAATGCATTTTCACAAGATCCATGCCAGATCCGTCGAGTCGCATGTTTTTGTGTGTTTTGTGGTGTTTTCAGGCAGCAATAAAAAATGGTCGGTGGCTGCAAGTGACATCTCTGACGGTCGCACATGTGACAACGTGTGGAGGAGCACATTGCAGTGTCTGGAGGAGCGTGGCGATGCGTGGAGGCGCGTGTTGTGTTCCGATGGTTGCGTTCAGTGATTTTATGTGCAGTGGTGATTCCCTGTGAGTGTTTTTACTTTCTGACAGTGTTTGTTTTCTCTCTATTTGATTCTTTGGTGCACAATTTAGGAATTGAAGATGATATCCATAAAGTATAAGATAAATAAGTTTGATGGTGGTACGAGTTTCAGTTTGTGAAAGATTAGAATGAGATCATCTGTGGTACTACAAAGTTTGTGGGGGACAATTGAAGAAAGATATCCTGAGGGTATGAGAGAGTTGAAAAAGGTAATTATGCAGGATAGAGCCTTATGTGCGATTTTTATGAGTGTTAATGACTATGTTTCTACAAGAGATTGC